TTCCTCCCAGATCTTGAGATATATTCCCTTCTCCCGCACCCTTAGAAAAGAAAACACTTCGGTATTCATGCCCTTTTTAAAATAAAGCAGTCTGATTCTGATAACACTTAAGTGTGCACTCACATAGTCTTTAAACAGATGTAGCAAAACGGTTGGAAAATCTATTGTTCAAAAAGTAACTGTTCAACTAAGTGGTTAGTGCATTGAAAAATTTAATTTACCATGAATTGCCTTTACTTGAATTCAACTTGACAATACAGAAGTGCATTTTGAAAGGATAACAATATTCATATTAAAGAAAAAAATCCAGGAAATCAGTGTTTTTTCTTGAGAAATCTGTGGTACATGGAACATGCTTTTGTTCCTGAGCTCCTTGGTTTCTCTCAGCCTGTCTCCCCAGTACTCCCAAACAATATATTTTACTGGGGGGTTTAATGTGTGTACTCAATCAAGTCAATAGCAAAATTAATGACTCCAGTAATACAGGATCAAATCCTATGACATGTATGGGAGGACTGAAAATGTAGGAAATGTGTATGCTTCATCAGTTCAGTGCATTAACTAACATACATTGTAAGGTTCAACTTTATGAGGTAGTGGTGGATTTCTTAGAGAGGATTATTTCAAGAGAAAGAATTGTCATTTCTTCCTTTTGCTAAAAGTACTCACTTATGGGCTGAAGTTCGTTTGCTTGGTTGGTTTTTCTGGGATTTCCTGAGAGTCTAAAGGGAGGTAGGGACTTAACTTTCAATGTTCCATCTAGAACTTAGATGCTTACTAAAGTGTGTACTCTACAATGTTCTGTGCAACATAAACTGTGGAGTTAGAGTTAAACGAAACTTTTCCTAAACGTATCCCTGAAATTTATCATTTTGGAATATTCACCAATTTTTGTCTGAAATTTGATTATTTTTTTCATGGGTTTGCCCAAAGTGTGCCATGGCCCTACCAAATTCATGGTCCATTTGGTCAATTCCACAGTCATAAGATTTTTAAAATAGTAAATTTCATAATATCAGCTATTTAATCTGAAATTTCACGGTGTTGTAATTGAAGAGGTCCTGACTCAAAAATGAGATAACGGGGCGGATTATTGGTTATTGAAGGGGTAGGAGTTGTGGTACTGCTATCCTTACTTCTGCTTTGCTGCTGGCAGCTGCAGTGTCTTCAGAATTGGGCAGCTAAAGGCATATCCACCGCCAGCAGCAGCACAGAAGTAAGGGTGGCGTGGTATGGTATTGCCGTCCTTACTTCTGCACTGTTGCTGGCAAGGTACTGCCTTCAGAGTTGGATGCCCAGTGAACAACTGCTACTCTCCAGCCTCCCAGTTCTGAAGGCAGCTCAGAAGTAATAGTGGCAATACTGCAATTCCCCCTAAAACAGCCTTGTGATCCCCCTGCAACTCCCTTTTAGGCAAGACCCCTAATTTGGAACATGCAGATCGCTCCCCTGAAATCTTTATAGTAAGGGCCAAAAGACCAGATTTCATGGGGGAAGATAAGATTTCAGTCATTGACCCATTTTTTTTCATGGCCATCAATTTGGTAGGACACTAAGTAAGGCTGAGTCCCAGAAGTTGAAACCCCATTACTTTTCAAGTCATGAAGTCAGATTAATCAAAATCGTGGGCCCTTCTGATTTTGATTGCTGAATTCTGTCACCAATTCAGTTCTTCCCAAATGTTAGCACTCTTCTTTTGATCCCTCCTTGATGCTCACTAGATGAAGAATATATTGCATGGATGGTAGTAAAATTGTTTTCCTTTCCCATTTCCTGGTACACCAGAGTAGCACTAACTCAGGTTCATGTTTGATGTCTGTTGGTTTGAGAGGTGGTGGGGTGTAAAGGAGGCAGTTAACTATGTCAGCATTTGACGAGCATTATATCTTAGTCAGACCCTTAAACAAATTTGTCACTCATGCTATTTTAAGAAATAGCAACACTGTATTTTAGTTGGAGTCATCTTTTATGAAAAATCTGCTGGTGTCTCCCCTAAGAAGGGGGAGAAAACTCTCCTCCTTGTCCTTTCAGAATTGAAACATTAATCGTTTAGGGTGCGTCTACGCAGCAGGGATTAACTCGAAATAAGCTACGCAAATTGAGCTGCGTCAACTGTGTAGCTTGATTCGAAATAGGGAGTGTTTATACAGCACTTATTTCAAAATAGAGCACTCTTCCTCCGACTTCCCTTACGTCTCATACAACGAGGGCTACAGGAGTCGGAGTAAGAAGTCCTACAGTTTGACAGTATTTTGATGTTATTTCAAAATAACTGCCTGCTGTGTAGATGCTGAATAAGTTATTTCAAAATAATGTTGCTGTGTAGACGTACCCTTACAGAATAGCTACGTGTGTGAGAAGCGAAGTGGGCAAAGCTTATAAACTGCATTTCCAAGTAAACAAATATATTCTCTAATAGTGCTGTATTATGGTGAATGTATGGTATTTTCTATCAAAGCATTATAGAAATAACTATTTAATCTTTTCTCTTGTCAATGCAGTAGTATTCCTTACATTCAGCTAAACTCTCTGTACGTAACCCGGGGGACTGCCTGTACTCCTTACATTCAGCTAAACTCTCCATTGCTTTTTCAGTTAAAAAACATAAACAGTGGGGTTTCCACCACCTCCCAGAGAGAGCGAGTATGTTGTCTGACTAATTTGTTTAATTTCGGAAGAAACCAACTTATTAGAATCTTTTGACTCTCTTCCCGCACCCCTCCAGTGTCCCAGTCAAATCTGTTGTCTTCTCAGTTCAGTGTCTCACTCCACCCAGACAAAAATAGTTACTGCTGTACTGCTTTGTGCCTGTGAGACGTCAGTTGCCTAAGTTAGCATGAGAGGGACGCTCTGTGTAGATAAATCACTCTAACTGATGTATGTTAGCTGTCCAAAAAGATGGGTAAATCTGACTGTGCAAATACCATTGCTATACTACTTTTAAGTCTACTAGCGTTAGAGTTCACAGTGACTTAGCTACCTGCTGGCTCCTACACAGGAAAAGCTCTGTCTGTTGCATCATTGACAACATTTATTGGGGTACTTCAGGAAATAAGGTCTGACAAAGGGCAAACTTGTTAGAACATGAATGTACCAATCTCTTCTACAGCTCAGCAAAGGATTCATTTGAAGCTGATTTTATGCATAATTACTGCACCGTCATTCCATGACTAATATAAATGTAGCTAGTTGGCACTATTAATGTATTTAAGAATGTTTTATAGATATATTTTTTTGTATGTGATATGTCTCATCCTCTCTGAAGCTATCAGTTTGAGCCAAGAATATGATTTGATAAATACTGTAATGGTGACACACCACCTTGTATTGTAATAGACATTACTGGAACTACTTAGTAAGTCAGCACATGTTACTGACCTCAACTTACTACAACTGGAACTACTTAGTAAGTCAGCCTCATTTTTCAAAACTAATTGTACCACCTAATAAAATTAAAAAAATAATATCAGAGTAAAGTCCCAACACCTTTTTTATGAAGTATAAAATTATGACCTCTTATCGTTGCTAACCTAATAAAGAATGAAAATACCAATAATTATAGAAAAAGTTCAGTGTGTTTTTCCTCTGAAAAACTGTAGAACATAATTCATAGTCCAAATCAATTGCAGTATGTTCACGCAGTAAGAGGAGCAAAGAAATGCCACCATGGCTAAACATCAGAGTATAAAAGAGGCATTTTAGAGGCAAAAAGGCATCTTTTAAAAAATGGAAGTCCGGGCCTGTGGAGGAAAATAGAAAGGAGCATGATCTCTTGCAACTGAAGTGTAGAAATATAAGAAAGCAGGCCAAGAAACAATTTTTGAGAACAATTATCTAAGGACTTGGGATGTAAAATCCTGTTTAATCAGTTAACCGGTTAAATGTTGCATTTGACTAGTTAACTGCTTAAATGGGAGTGGGCAGGGCCTGGCTAGGCTGGGAGTGGCTCCCTACCTGAGGTGGGCCCAACCAGGCTAGAGCATGGGGCATGGGGCTTTTCTGGGCCAGGGGTGTGGGGCCTGGAGCACTCCCAACCCACACTGTGGGGGGGGGGGGCTGCTCAGGCCAGTTGCCCTAGGCTGTGCACGCTGTGGGTGTGGGAGCTGCTCCAGGCTGGGTTGTGACTTGTAAATCCTCATGAAACTACCAGTGCTGGCACCAAATCTAACAGTCCCTTGCCATGAAAGCTGATGAAAAGCAATTCAGATTTTTTCCAGAGGTTTTAAACAAAAGGAAGTTTTTCTTTGCTCAGCACATAGTCAACCTGTGGAACTCCTTGCCAGAGGATGTGGTGAAGATTAGGACATTAACAGGATTCAAAAAATAGTTAGATTCATGAAGGTTAAGTCTATCAATGGCTAGTAGCCAGGATGGATAGGAATGGTGTTCCTAGCCTGTTTGTCTGGAAATGGATGACAGGAGAGGGATCATATGAGGATTACCTATTGTGTTCCCTTCCTCTGGGGCATCTGGTATTGACCACTGTCAGCAGACAGGATACAGGGCTAGATGGAGCTTTGGTCTGACCTAGTACGGTCGTTATGTTATTTTTACACATACACACTCATCCTCTCACTCCCATCCTTCAGAAACAAGTAAAATTTTGCAGATAATGAATCATATCTTAAACATTTTGATGCCTTTGATCACTGTCATTGCTATAAACTTGATATCCACACCTGTTTTGTTGTTATAGTCTGTTCAAAACTATCATTAAAATAAAGTGTATTTTGCAGACATAAACCCCAATTCTGCAAACACACACGAGCTTAACCTTAAGGAAATCTCATTGGCTTCAGTGGTATTATTTGTGCTTCATTTTAAGTATGTTGCATATGACTATAATATATGTGCTTTTGTATAATATGAATCTCTTTAGAACTCAAACAATAACATTATTATAATTTTTAAATTTTGACTCCATTAGGTGATAAAATGTATTTGCTTAATGTGCAATTGTAAAGTCAAATACAAAAATCTCTGTGTCTATTGTTTTCCAGAATAAATTTTACATAGAAACCAAGCTTAACAGAGACGTAAAAGATGACCTTATAAAGCTGTTTACGGAACATGTTGCAGAAAAGCACATTTACAGCCTAATGCGTAAGTCAATTTATTGTATTTTTCTTAAAATAGATGACAATCAAATTCTATTGCAATTTTGGAAAACTAACTGTAGGTTGTAGGAGGAAAAAGCAGAAAAGGTAGGAACAAAATCCTAAGACTAGAAGATTAAAATACAGATTGCAAGTACTGTACATACTTACTGTGGGCTTTTTTGGTCTCTGAATAAAAATGCAGTGTAATGAGGTTGGTTATTTACTAAATATATGGTTTTAAAAGCTTTTAGGAGGAAGAATGAGGCATGTTAGTGCCAAAACAACAATTGTTTTTTCATAGACATTTTGTGTAGATGCCATTGTTGTCCAAATATTTCATCCCAGTGATGTCTACCTTACGATTATGATGACTACGTATTTTATTGTGCAGCGGCCTAGCCTGTTCTACTTTCAGTACAGGTTTGACCTCCATGACCCAGCACCCTTGAGACTTGACCCATCCTGAATGAGGGAATTTGCTAGATCACGTTAGGTCCCTTCTGCTGGCCTCCCAGCCTGCTTCCCCCTCCCTGTGGCTGCCTGTGCTTCAGTCCCATTGCCACTGGGCTGCCATCCCACTGCTACCAGGCTAGGACTACCTGGGGACAGAGGTCCCCAGCTGCCTCTGGCCAGAGCTCCCTGGGGACGGGGCTGGCCAGGCCTGCTGCTGTTCTGCCTGCCTGGGACTTCCCTGGGGACAGAGCTTCTGGTTGCTGCTGGCCTCACTGGTGGGCCTGCTGCCTGGGACTTCCCTGGGGACAGAGTTTCTGGTTGCTGCTGCTGGTGGGCCCGCTGCTGGACTCCCAGTTGGTACTCATTCCCCTGTGCTGGGGCTCTCTGCTCCAGCAATATCCGTGATACACCAGAGTGTAGGAGGTTTAACCAGTATCAAGAATGCTAGGTAAATGTGACTTACTGGGGCTCTCTGCTCCAGCAATATCCGTGATACACCAGAGCGTAGGAGGTTTAACCAGTATCAAGAGTGCTAGGTAAATGTGTGTGGTATGGTTGGAGGAATCAGGTGCCCAGGTATGAAACTTGGTTGTCATCTTACTGTATACCTCCTCCCCCCTCTCTTTTCCCACCCCACCAATTAAGAAAAAGATGGGGATGGATGAAGTAGTGGCTAGTGTAGCCTTTATTATTATTGAAAGCTAATTTGGTGTAATATAAGATCACTAATTGAGGTGTAGTGCTGGCTACACTCAAGTTTAACAGAGCTCTGCTTGTTTTTAGATCTTGAGCTCATTGGAACATTGGAACACAGCTCATAGGCAAAGAACACATAATCACAAGAACCAGATCTATCTTTTATCAGTTTTATTAATGTTATGAATATTGCAGCAGATACAGCTTATAGGTATTTTCATGCACCACTTAGAACTAAGGACACATCGTCCTAGATAGTGTTATGGACTGATCATCAGTAGACGGATATTTCTGCTAGGGCTTTCTCATAAGAAGTGCATTTTTCCTCTTTGGACACCCCGTTTTTTGTCTATGCTTACTCTTCACATGTATGTGAAAGTTCCAATGCTCCTTTTTTTTTATTGGTCTGATATGTCCTCTTTTTTTTTTTTTTTTTTTTTTTTTTTTTCTGATATTCCTTAGGAATTTAAGGGACCATGATTTGCATAGGTTTCTCTTTATTCTCATTAGTGTTGATACAACCTGTATCCTGTGTTTGACATGTGTTGGAGATAGATGTGCTTCTACATTTTTTGGCGATTTAAATAAAATGTCCTTCTAATCTTT